TTAAATCTAACTCTCAAAGACCAGAGAGAATTTCTCTGGCCCTAAAATTTGACCTAACTTTTTCAGCATGTTCATGGATGAAATTCTCCTAGCACACTTAATATAAATGAAAACTGTGCATATGTACAGCTTCATGACATTGAATACTACATTTTTCATTCACAAACCTAAGGCTAAATGTTCCTAAATGGAGAGATAGAAAGTGATGAAAAACCTGTTTCAGTTGGATTCGAGTTGGACAATGCAGCAACTTTCAGTGAGGCCTGAGGTTCTTTTGAGCTTGCTTGATGTTCCCTGGACCTTTCCCAATGCTTAGTTTGTTTTGAAATGGTCTGAATCTCTCTATAGAAGTCAACCTGCACAAGCTTGAAACGAAAATGGTGAACACTGTAAATGGAGTTACAGTTGGCAATGGAGGTTTGGGATAGCTTGAGTGAGTTGAATGGAAGATATTGGAACTGGTTGCAAGCAAAACGCACGAGTGGATGTGAAAATGGAAGTGATTCTGCAGGGCCTGCCCTGTTTTGCAAGAAAATGTGATTTTTGTGTACAAGAGTGTTTGAGGGATGAATGGCTCGTGTTTCTGGCTCACAGGGATGTGCAAAACTTGTTTGGAATGTTGGCTCAAGTTGAATATATCAGATGCTCCAATTATGTCCTTTTGGCAAGTTGACTTGTTTTGAAAGAAAAGTGTGAAGTGAAATGAGGTAGGCCTGTACAGGCTACCTCCAAGCATGCATAAGTTTCTTATACCTTTGCCTGAGTTTGTGGAACTTTTTTGCTGCAAAGAAAGAGGTCCAAGGCTCAAGAGAAGCAATGTTGACATAAAGTTGCCTTTATGAAAATGGAAGTGCTACCTTTATGCCAAAAATGGATTTGTTCATTGTGCAAACCTCTAATGATCATAATAACACCAATGTCCAATGAGTTTGCATTCAATTTTTGAGTGTTGAAGGGTTTAGAGACCTGTAATTAAGTACAAAGCTAGTTTGGACAGATTTTGCAACTTGTATGAACATGTATTGGCCATGGTTACAAAGTGAGTTTTTGCCAACTTCAAGCATTCGATTCTCCCTAACCACAAATGTGTTTGAGGAGTTCTTGAATAATTTGGAAATCTTGCAACATATAATATAATCCATATTTGAAATTCAACTTGAGATTCCAAGTGGAACTATGTGAAAAATGGCCAAGAAGATGGGTCAAAATCCTGCCTAAACTAGGGCAAAATTTCTCTAAGTTAAAAGTTTTAGGGACCCTTGTTCCAAAACTCATAACTTGAGATCCAAACTTATTTTGAGAAAACTTTGTGAATAAAAGTTGTAGCATTTGTGGAGCACTACAACTTTCATATTTTAAGTTTTGTTTGAATCCATTTTCATCATGGTGAAAATGTGGGGCAAAGTTAGGAAAAATTAAGAAAATTTCATAACTTAGAAAATTTCTAAGTTATGAAATTTTTCAATTTCAAACCCTAATTTGCAATTTTGGGTTTCTTGATGAACAAGTTTCATAATTTGACACATCTTGATGAAAAATGACCCTTGGCACTTGATTTTGACCAAAAAGTCAAAGTTTGACTTTTCAGGGTATAGTCAAATTTTGATCAGTTGACTGAAAAATTCATTTGTCATTCTTATGCATTTGAGATCTTTTGAACTTGTTGAATAGGTCAAGATAATTTCATTGAGTCCTTGAGTCCATTATTGAACTTGATTTGCCATTGGTTAGGTCAAACAGTCAAAAATTGCCTTTGTACAGTCAAAACCCTAAAAATGACCATTTTGCCCTTTTGGTGATCTGATCAAATTTCTTGTGGAATTGTGGTCCAAACTTGATCAAATGGTTCATATGAGTTCATAATGTTGATGTGGGTCAAAATTCATGAGGTTTGACTGTAAATTGGCCACAGTTGACTTTTTCCCCAATATAGTTGATTTCTAGGTCAACTGTCCAATTGACTGGGCAAAATTTTGATTCAAGGCTTGATACTTGGTATGGACAAACTTATGAGTCCAACATGAAAATTTCATTGAGTCCTTGAGTCCATGATTGAACTTGATTTGCCATTGGTTAGGTCAAACAGTCAAAAATTGCCTTTGTACAGTCAAAACCCTAAAAATGACCATTTTGCCCTTTTGGTGATCTGATCAAATTTCTTGTGGAATTGTGGTCCAAACTTGATCAAATGGTTCATATGAGTTCATAATGTTGATGTGGGTCAAAATTCATGAGGTTTGACTGTAAATTGGCCACAGTTGACTTTTTCCCCAATATAGTTGATTTCTAGGTCAACTGTCCAATTGACTGGGCAAAAATTTGATTCAAGGCTTGATACTTGGTATGAACAAACTTATGAGTCCAACATGAAGTATGAAAGTCAATTTGGGCATTGAAGGTCCAAAAATACTTGTGCAAACTAAAACCCTAATTTAGGTCAACAGTGCAAGGAGGTGTCTTGAGCAGAGCAAACCCTAGCTTGATCTTGAGTTCCAAGAGCCTGGTGATGGAAAATGTTGATAAGATGAGAGGGAAAATTTTGGGGTACAACACGCGGTATAAGTTCTCAAGACACAAGTCATACAATTACTACCGGCTGCAAGGAAGAAAGGCTACAGATTTACAAAAGAAATCAAAATTCTATTACAAGTCGGAACTATTCCCATCCATGGTCATTCATATTATTCAAATCACTCAAGTTCAATCATTCAAGCGTCTTTCATTCCCTCATGTTACAATACACGCCATTTCAAGATTACAAAAAGTTACAAAGGTCCAAAGAAACTTTTACAAAAAAATGCATTTAATCAGTTACAAGAAAATGTATCCTAAGCTTAATCCTCCGTCTTCACCTTTTACATTGGGCTTCATGACATGTTTGAACCATGCCTAAATTCCTCACACCACATCCATACCTTTCATGCTATCTCTCCCTTTCTTGACTTGATACAAACTATGCTTCAAGTGCATTATGCCTTAATGTCCAAAATGTTAGCTAGTATGCACGTACCAAAACAAAACCGCACAAACCAGCAACCTGCAAGAATGTTTTCAAAACCAAACAGAAAAAAAAACGTGAAATATCAAACCAACTCAAAAAAAATGGAAGCAGAACTGATGAGATTTATGCTAGGCCTAACTTCAAAGAGTTTCTAACAAACCAAATGTCAAAGCTAGCTGATGGTATAACCGAGCAAATCAGAAACAAGATATTTCCACAATTCACGAAATCAAAAATAATCAGAAAATATAAAAGGAAATATCAGGAAAAGTGTATGAAAAAATTATGAAAATAGTTTTACAGCTTTAACCAATTTCTAACCGTTTCCAACCTTTCCATTGCCTGCAAACAAAACTTCTAACAGCATTCAGAACTAGATTAGCGCATATGAAACATCAAGAAAGTTTAAACATTCATAAACAGAAGTCATGCCCTGCTGTTTAAAGCATGCAACATACCAACCATGTGCATTAAGGAAGGGTCTGCACAATAGTTCAGCCATGTGTTGATTATTCAGAAAAATGCAACCCTGCATTAAGATATCAGAAAATGAACATTGCAGAAAAAAGGGTTAGTAAGCTTCACTGTGGCCTATCAATTTGAAGTCAGATCAAGATTGGAAGCAGAGTTTTTTAGCAAATACAAAGGCGAAATACTCATTCACAGTAGCTACAGACCCTGACTACAGATTTGATCTAGCAATACAGCTAGGAAGATTAGAAGTTGCAAAGGGCATTTCAGTAAAGGTGCAGAGTGAATCTAAATGGAAGCAGTTGGGAGAATTAGCTATGTCTAGTGGCAAGTTACAAATGGTCGAGGAATGTTTGAATAATGCAATGGATTTGAGTGGGTTGTTACTGCTATATTCTTCTTTCGGAGGTACAAAAGGAATTTTAAAGCTTGCTCTGCCTGGACCAGAGTAGAAGAGCATAATAATTACAGCTGGAAATGGTGTGCCCAATGAAAACCCACTTGTAGTCATGAGTCAAAATAGTTCCCTAATGGACAAAATAAAGAGTACCAACTTCAAACCAATATGCCAGCTCACATAACAGAATTCCAAGGCCACAAACAGTGATAACAGAAAAAGATAGCTTCCAGTCCATAAAAAACAGCCTCTAATAGTTTCAACAGAATTCCCAACAGTTAGCCAAATTCTAACTCCTAACTAATTTCTAAACAGCTTACTAACAACCCATAACAAAAAATCAAAACCAACTCTCTAACTGACAACTGATTCCCAGAACTAATTTCTAACATTTTTCTAACTAACTCTAACCATATCCTAACAGTTTCTAACGCCTAACTAATTTCTAACTAACCTGCAAACTGAATCCAAACAGAATTCTAACCATTCGAAAACAGCCCATAACAGAATTTCAATCCAACTAACTTGTAACCAAAACTAACAGCTAACTGCTCTAACCGAATTCATCTCAACCATTCATTACCTAACCAACTAATTCAATCCAAGGGCTCAGATGCACTTACCTCTAACAAATTCTTGCAGATCCTGACTGATTATATAAACAGGATCCGTCATCAATAAGAGGGATTCTTCGTTCTTCTGAGAATCGCCGCAATCTTCATCCTCTCTCTTTGCAATAACCGCATCAACAACATTAATTATGTCACAACATCGTGTTCATTATCTCCGAATCAATCTTCAGCTTCTGCAAATCGCATCATCATCTTTTGCAACATATATGCAATAGCGTCAAATCTTCATCATCCTCGCGTTTTGCCATCAACAATATGTGTTTTATCAACTACATGAAATCAACAAAAGTGTGCAGAAAAGATACAAATAACGATGCATAACAACGTCAACATACAGCACCAACGCGACGCATCACAATAATTAAGAAACGCAGTAGCACACGAATTATGAGGAAAAAGGAAGAAGAAAAGACTTGAATCAAATAAGCAAAGCTCAAGAAGATACCTGGAGGAATATAGATATGATTTTCCGCTTCTAATCGCCGACGTCGAAGATGCGTCAAACAAACTCTGATCGCTTCGTGTTATCTGCGAGGTTCCGATATAGGCTGAGACGATGTTGAGGCTGAGACAAAACTGAGACGGAATCGGAGGCGCAAAGATTGAGAAGCGATTGAAAAACATGGTGTATCGATTGATCGGAGATCGATGCGGCATCACAAAAAGAACAGGGGATTTGAAACGGAGATAACGATTGGGAGGAGATAAGTGCAGAAGGTAAGGGTGAGAAAGGTTGAGCCATCGGTGAGAGAGAGTAAGGAAGAAGAACGGTCGAAGCTAGACATCACAAGCGTTTTGAACCCTAAACCATCGAAACTACACCGTTTCACATTTGTTTCAATTTTATTTTCTTTTTTTTTATATATTAATAAATCAGAAAATAATGTTGAAATTAAAGACTTGGTCACATACACAACTCAAATAGTATAACAAAAAAATATAGATATTCATAACTTGTTAATAGCAAGAAATCATTTAGGATGTTACTTATTATAATTAAGGTAGCCCAAAAAAAAGGCGCGCCAGAGTGACATTCATTAGTGTGTGGCGTAAAACTTTTGTTCGCCATGAAAACAATTATGGGATGGGGTGATACATGAGCACATGATCTTTTAAGGCTAACAATTTTAAAATATAATGTTAATGTTCGTGCATGCAAATATGCGGGACAGAAGAGGGCGGACATATTAGATATTACGGGTCTAAAACTTTAATCGTGCCCCAGCAAAAATATGAGTGAAACAGGTATGCACGGTGCATTCAACTTGTGTTTTGTGTTGCCACCCTCTACTTACATTCATAAACCAAACAATTACTTAAAAAAAGAGAATTTTTCTTTCCATCATATAGTGAAAAGAAAAACCCTACACATTTCTTAAAATGTCCCTGAAAACCGGAAATATATTTCCGATGCGCATCATTTTCTGTTAAACCTTATCTAAAAAAATGGAAATACATTTATGGAACAAATCAGAAATACATTTTCGGTTTCTGTGCAGATATTACCAGATGGCCTTATGCTGGCAGGTGGGTCGGTTTGCGCGTTGTTTCACATTGAATACAAAGACGTATATAATAAAACATACTACAAAGACATGTGGAACAAAGACATATATAAATAGATATCATTAAACAATACAAAAGGTGCTTGTAGTCAATATAGGGGGTAACCCAAAATATTATCCAAATACAATAAAAAAAAATGATAACCAAAATTCATATACAACATCAACGACTACTGGGTATGGTGGACTCTGAGTCGGTTTGTCACCTTCTTGACGTTCCCCACTGCCTCATGTACTACAAAGCCCCCTGAACCTCTATCGTGATGGCATCCAGAACACCTCTAACATCAGAGTCATCAGGAAACAAATCACCATCAATACCCACATGCGCAATGTCCATGATACGAAGACACATAGGTAACACATATGTGGCATGATCGGCTTGTGCCTGCTCCTCCTTTAGAATCTCCTAATGAGTTGGCCTCAGAAGGTTTCCTGAAGCATCTTGTACCAGGTATGGATGGGACACCCTGAAGAACCATATGATATAACCGTCCACGTAGCTCCAATCGTCTGGAGATATGGTACTTCGGGCCTCATCTAGAACAAGATGGTTCTCATAATCATCAAACAAAGTATCCATATCCTTGCGTTTCACCAGGGGGGGAGCAGATACAGCAGGATCTCGGGAATGTACTAGGTGTACCCAAACTACCGCATGACGTGCTCAGGCATATAAGCAGTTGTCTTGCGCGACCCGCAAGCCAACCATCATGTAAACAGCGCAACATCATCAAACAGTATCGTGGCACGGTGGTCGTGGTAAGAATGGAAGTGTATGTCCTCAAACACTAGCCTGTCAATATACACCTGAAACGACTATGTTGTCTGGTTCCCTCGGAGCGGGTCGTATGTAGTGACACACAATTTAACTTCAATATAATCAGTAGCTAGTGACCAACTCGAGATGCGGGGGAAATGGGTTAGGATACAACCCTAATTAGTAACAGAATCACAATAATTAACAAAACTCAACGAAGACCAAGAAATTTTATCATCATGAGTGTGATGTTGTCGGTCATCTGCTTCGTCTTCCACTTACATCCTTTAGAAAGTTTCGTATACAAATATACTAAACAAGATGTCCCAGTTCCGGATCTGATCAAAATCATTAAAGTACCCCAGATACATCACATATGTGTAAGTGGCACTAGTGTTCAAAATGGTGGAGAAAATAGAAACAGACTAAATCAAAGCACCAGAAATGCATTTTCGGTTTTGTTCAACGTTAAATTGAAAACTGAAAATGTATTTCCGATTCTACCTAGGATTACAGAGGCCCGTCAATGGCGAACCAGACCACCCAAATGACCTAAAAAAAGCTCATGAATCATGAAAATGACATTACAAACACATTTTTTCTAATGGTTCAAAAACACACTACAAAATCAAAATTTCAAACCTAAATCACTAATTTGAGTAGAAATAACAAAAACTCTAAAAAGTTCAAAAACAACTTACAATTGTTGGTTTTCCTTCTTTATTGAATGTGGTTGGACTCTTAAGTTAACTGATGTTTGATGATTTGTGTAACGATTTTTTTGCAAATGCTTTGATTTTGTAACAAAAGGGTTGTGAGGAAATAGGTTTAGTGTGTTTTGTTTTTGTGGCATATATATTTCTAGTATATATACAGTAATTACAATTTCGGTTCATATATTGTCTTGCCTGGGGATTGGATTCCAAGGCCACAAATGTGTGTGTTTCGGATGACAACCAAAATGCATTTACCATTACAACCGTATGTATATTTCCGGTTTCCATCCAATTTTTTCATTTTTTTTAATGACTTACAGATACACACCAGAATTATATTTCTAATTATAAATGGCATTTAAGAAATTTCGCGTAATATGTTAGAAAAACATAGGATAGAAAAAGAAATCATCAAAAAAAAATATGTATGCAAGCAAGTTTTAATTTTAACAAGTCTTCAAGAAAATCAAGAAACTTATTCACATCAAAATAAGATGAGATAGATACATCAATTGACACAAAATGAATGAACTCTAAATAAATTTTACTCGGAAAAAAATATATAATATCAAATGAAAGAATCCCTCCTTTTTCTGCTGTCTTCAAAACTCTTCACACGTCTACTTTCAAAACCTAAATGAAACCAAATAAACAATGGAACAAACCTAAAAGAACTTAATAACTAAATTCTCAGGGTGAGTTCTTGTTGATCTGGTAACGGTACATAACCCTTCTCTTTTTGTTCGACGAGTTGTTAACTGTGAGAATAACCTTCCCAGCTTCATTGTTCTTGAATGTGTTCCTAATAGCTCCTTCTTGCGAACCTATCTTCTTCACTTTCGAAACAATCACAGTGTAAGAGCCTTCATCATTAGGAACAAATTCCTCTTTGTAACTTACCTCCCAGCCCAAAACAGCTATGTCCCAGCACAAAGTGTTTCCAGCTTCTAATGCAGGAATCTCTATGGTTACAGTTGATCCAGCCTTGAGTACTAGTTCAGAAACAGTCGCGTCTTGGCCGAAGAACTCGGTATCGTTTTCCCTCTTGAAGCCACCGTAGTTAACCGGGATCTCCTCAATTGGAATGTACCTATAATACAGAAAGTAAACAAGGTTATTAATGTGTTGTTAAGGTTGAAGTGTAGCCATTGAAGTCATGATTAATGGATTTTGAAAACATACTTGATCAGTGTTTCAGTGACCTTTGCAGGACGCGACACCACGAATTTGCTCTTTGTTCTTTGAGTTAAGAATGGAGATAGAAGTGCATTGAGTGCATAATACCAGAATGGAACATTGATGAAAATCTACGATGAAGCAAACACAACATAAGAACCTTAATCAATTGCTTTGAGAACATGTATCAAATGACTATAAGATGCATAACCAAATGCGATATTGACATAGACATACCGACAACAGAAACGATATTGACATAGACACAGACATCACCATCAAACACCAGACATTGACATAAACCAGACACCACATCAACACCGGTAAGGTCATTATAAGCATAGACAATGCATAGAAAAGAGGGAAAATAAGCAATGATATGAAAAGAAACTTACATTTTTGGCCACCAATTCAGGGTAATTGTCCTGCAAAATTGAAATAGTTTGATTTGTAGCAATTCTTATCTCTTTCTTAGAAGGACCAGGACAATTCTTAAGGTCATTGATTTGAAGCAAAGAAGAAACACCACCTGGTTTCAAATCCAGCTTCTGAATCCATTTCTCAGTAACATAACACCTCCATCTCAAAAACTCTCTTCTCTTCTCTTCACTCCCAAAACTCTTCTGATAAATCTCTTCACCAGCAAAAACACCATAGATGTTGTAACACACAGGGTGCCCTTCACGATCAACACCATTCATGTAAGCAGCATCAACCAAATCCAAACCCAAATCTTCATCCAAAATAGAATCAATCTTCATCTCCTTCCTCCATTCAAGTGTCTTCTTCAACATCTCAAAAGCCTCACTAACCTTAAAATCTCTAGCCCTCAAAAACTTCAACAAAACCACATCAATTCCTTCATCTCCTTTGCTTGGCAAAAGTGACACACCCCACAAAGACAAATCTTTCTCCTCCTCCTCTTCAACCCCTTTCTCGTTCTCCCCCTCAACATTCTCTTCTTCCTTCACAACTTTCTCACCCTCTTCACCACCTTCTGGTAAAGCTTCAACCTTGTTTGTCTCATCTACCTTTTTCTCAAAAAGGGTGTTCCCTAAAATCGCTTCCTCAACCTTAGACTTGAACTCAATCAAAGCCTTTTTCTCAAACTCTTTAAGATCAGAAAGAAAGTTGCTTTCTTCTTTGTAAGAAGAGCATTTCTCAACTGTCTTTAAGGGTTTTGATTCCTCCACTGATTCCTTTGCTTCAACATCAACAACTTTACCTTCTTCAACAACAACCTCGACTTTCTGGGTGGTTTCTTCTTGAGCCATAGTTTCAGCAGTCATGTTTTTCTACACATTGAAAACACAACAGAAACAACAAAGTTAGACCAAAAAATGAAAACTTGTGACAAACCCAGAAACTAAAAAGTGGAAACAAACAAAACTAACAACAAAAAAAACATAAAACAGGCAGACACACCTTTGAGGATTAATGTTGTTTGCGTTGTGTTTGTGTTGTGAAATGTGATGTGGTTTGGGAAGGTTTATATGTTGTTTGAAAAGAGAAGGTGGGACCCAGAAACGGTCATATAACTGGATCCACCGATGAGGAGAGCCGTTGGAGATTCTTTTTTACGAGGTTTTTGATGTTCTGTATGCCAGCATATTGTGGCGTGAAACCAGGTATTACATTGTTTTCATAATCTTCCATTAATTTATTTAATTATAATGATTTAATTAAAAATAACAATAATCTTACTAACCATTTAATTATATATTTTTCTATAATAAATGTTATATTTTATCTTTAAAATTTAATCATAAATGAGATAATTTTAAGATGGACTTTTAAATATTTAGTTATGTTGTAAAATATTTTTTAAAATTTATTAAAAAGAAAGTGAAAAATATAATTAAAAGGATTACTATGGGTTGTATGAATGAATGGATAAAGAATCGATACATGTATTCACAAAAAATAATAATCAAGGTCAAAGTTTGACTTGAAAGTCTAATATGAATTTTAATTGATTAAATATATTTACATAAAAATTGGTTGGGCTAGTGATACTTATTTGACATAATCCATAAGTGGCATATATGTTTGCAATGAGCCTTATATTGGTTTTGAGATAAAACTCATCAGTTTCAAAGGTAAATTTATTTTTAGTTTGATTTGGAAAAAAAACGATGTGATTTAATTCAATTTCTTACTATTTAATTTAGATCAATTTTTATATATTTAAATTAAAAAATTATATTATTTTATTAATATTATTATCTTATTAATATTATAAAATACTATAAAAATAATGTGTACTGTAATAAATAATTTTAATATATTAAAAAGTAATATTATAAAATAAGAATAATCGATTATTGTTAAAACAAACAAAATGATTAAAAAAAATATAGGTTAAATAATAAATAATATTAAAAAATAAGTATTAAAGAAAATATATTAATCCAATATATCATACTTTAAAAAAAATGTAAGTATTAGAATATATACAAGCGGTTCGATTTAATTTGAATTGATTTTGAAAAATCAATTTAAAATCGACTATATTCTAGTGACTTTTAAAAAAATTATATTCACACTCATGTAAAAAAAATCTTTTACAATTTTAAAATTTTTAAGTTTTATTTAGATCGGATTAAATTTTAACATTCTTAATAATTGAGATGAATTCAAATTCTTGCAAAGACTTTTTGAAGAAAAAAATGATTGCGCTTTGGTCCATAAAAAAATTATATATATATATATATATATATATATATATATATATATATATATATATATATATATATATATATATAAAGAATTAAATAACATTAAGGTGTCAAAATTTAGTACTATGATATAATAATATATATTGTTTTGGGTCGGACTGACACTTGGCCTACATATGGACAGGTCCAATTCAACGCCTTTGTCTATGATCCAATAGCTTCAGGCCCAAGTCAGATAGCTGTTGAGGATTTCCTCCACGTGCCCATTAAGAAACGTGGTTAACAGTCACCATCAACCGCCACTTGCCATTCGAGAATAACAGATCCACTGTCCCTATATTCTCGAGGCGCTTTACTAGGGAGGGACCCACGTGTTGGACCCCATTACTCACGTAACCCTGATAGTCCTTGTTATTGGACCATAATCACTTGGCCCAGCGCTGGGGGCTATAAATACGCTCTCTCATGAGAGGGTCAGCTATTCATTCATTCGACCTCACTTCTATTACTTGCACTATAATTGTCTAGACTCTTACTCTGACATCGAAGTATCTTGCAGGTACCCCAATTCACTTTAACAACCGTCTCATTCAAGCTTGTGGGTCATCGATGACTCCCTCTGGTCAGGTACGATCAGTGGCGTCGTATGTAGGAAACTGCTTCCACATATTTCACTAACTGAAGATCAAAGTAAACTTTCAACTTTCCGATCGTCATGGTCGCTCTAGTCAACAATGAAGATCCTAATATTCACTTCATCGAGTTTGGCAACAACAATAACGACGACCTTGTCGGCCACGCGCTCGACATCAGGGATGGAAGAACCGCTTCCTCCTCCACTCTAACCCATCTACTAGACCAACCTCGCCGAAAAAACTACGAACCTGCAACATACGAGGAAATCCATGTGCCTGAGAATGCTGACCCTATGACCCAAGCCTTGTTCGCTACGATCAATAAGACTAACTACATGATCTCCGTGCAAGGCGAACACCTTGTGTTGTATCCCAAAATTTTCCCTCTCATTTCATTCAAAAAATCCCTTTAGGCTCGTGGGGTTTTCAATCGCTTTAGGCTACTCAGGCTTTCTAAGCCTCGGGATATCTCGTTTAATTCCTTGTGCAATCCAAAGAATTGAGAATCACAAGTGTTGAATCTGGAATTAGATTTTTTTTCTCATCCATTGACATCATGAGTATTATCTCATCGTTATAAGACAACTTGGTTCAAGAGATCAACAACGATTAATGTTTGGTCCTAAAGTTCTATTCTCATCAAGCTTAGGGCTTTTCTTCTCCAAAAGTCACCAAAGCCTTGAGCCAGGGTATATTTTTCTATAGTTCTCACAGAGTTAGGGTTTATGTGGCTTTGATAGCTTTCATCTTCATTCAAGTTTAAATCAGTTAGTTCTTTATCTAACTTTGCTTTATAGAGCTAAGAAGGTCTTTTACCATTTAAAGTGATTTGATATAGGTTTAATGTGGACATTTTGAATTGCACAAGGTTTACAAGTTGTTGGAACCAATTTCAAATTCAAGGTTTGCGTTTGATCTCAAGTCATGATTTTATTCAGATTTCAAAACTTCTACATGATATCCTATAGCCAAGTTCGTTCAATATTTCAATGGAAGATGCAAGTTTCAATTTTACTCATTCAACCTCATCCCATATTCATTATTTGAGTTCAAAATTCAAGATTCGTTATCGTACAAATTCAAATTCCACATAGAGAGATTTCAAGCGTGAAAAGACTCATTTGGATTCGAATTCTTGTGAATTTCCAATAAAGCACAAACTTGCAAATTGGTAATAATTCAATTGATTTTTAGAGTGGTATCTATCATTCAAAAATGTCAAGATGACTCAAGTTTTGAATCAAGAATTTCAAATGTGGAGTTTTTGTTTGGATTCAAAGTGCAAAGAGTTCAAATTCTACATGAACACATAAGCAATGTTAAAGAACTTTTGTTTAAATTCAAGTGGTATTATCATTTATTCATAATTTTCAACAACAATGGAAAACTTACATAAAGACTCAAAAGTATCCAAGTTTCTAATATCTAAGTTGCAACATCTTTCATCATCAATCAAAAATTAAGCTTTGAAGTTTAAATTATAAGGCCAATGCTAAAGATTACAAAACATGCTCCTAATGCATAAGATTTTGCAATATACAATGGAATTCCTAATCTAAATCTAATATTTATAATGAGATCTCCAAGCTTCCCACTTCATGTTTCCCTCTAAACTCCTCCAAGCCATGCCACAATTTCTCTTGCTAATCCTCACCACTATTGCCCATCATCATTTTTTTCCCACATGAAACAAAAGAGAGAAGAATGTTAGAAAACAAGAAAGAAACATAAAAAAAGAATTTTCAAAGAACTATTTCACAAATTCATCATTAGGGGTTGTTTTTAGGAATCAGATTTTAGGTTGTTTTCTCAATCATGTTCATGCGCCAAAAAGCCTCATACAAAATCAGATTTAATCATACGTCTAGGTCTATTTCAAACCACAAACAAATTGGTTCACAAAAGACAAATTCAAAGAGGTTCAAAACAGAATTGCATCACAGTTCCAGCCCAATAGCAAAGTAAAATATCACAACCTAACCAAGAATTTACTGCAGTAAGAGTTCCATTCACCAAGACCACAACAATAACATATAAAAATTGCAAAGCCCAACATAGAAAAATCAAAAGCCTCATATTTATTTATTTCAACAAAAGTCAGAGCTACAATATCAATCATAGGCATAACCCTTTACTACGAATCTTAAACAAAAGGGACTTGTTTGGTTCACAGTAAAGTTAAAAACTCAAAAAGTAATTGACTGCACAAGTACAAACTCAGTGAAAAGGCATCACAAACATCACAGTACAGAAAACCAGAATTCACAGCAAGCAAAAGGGACAATTCACAGGGGCCAGCAAGCAACAAGGACAATTCACAAAAAAACACAGATAGACAGCCGCAAAACACGCAAACCCTAAGGCTGTTCTCTTTCATCATTTTTCTCAAAATCAAACCCTTCAAAAATCGTTCAAGAGGATGAAACACCTTTAGAAAAAATGGCACACACAAAATATATACAAAGACCACAGCCGCAGGACCAAAAAAACAAGATATTCAAAATCTTCTCAAAATCAGTTCACAGTGCCAGAAGCAAAAATAGAGTTCACACAAAATATACAGAAACAACAAAAGCAAAACAGAAACCCTAGTTTTGTTCATCATCTTCCGTCACAAACAACCCTTTCAGAAATCAAAAAAAGATTGTTTACATTCATCAGAAAAGTTGCACAAACATTCAACAAAGCAAACTCTAAATGCTCATCATCTTCCTAAACTCAAAACCCCTTCAGAAATTTGTGAAGAAGAAGAATAAAAACAGAATCACGAACAGAAAGAAGAAGAGGAAGAGATTTTGTAACATAAATCAGAAAGATCTCACCAGGAATCTCAAGTTTCCATCATGTCTGAGCGCTAGGGTTTTGGTCACCCCCTTTTAGATCTAGGCAAAATCACGCCACATCTGCAAAAACGAGCAAAAGATTAGCACAGAGGAGAAAGAGACGGAGCTAAAGACATAAAAAAATGAATCAGAG